TTGTTTTTGAATTTTGTGCAAAGGTACACAGAGGCTATTTGGATTAGTCATCCCTAATTTAGCAGTGAAAGACTAGAGGGGTAGCTAGTCAACACTACCCACCACCAACTCTTCGGCTACTCTTTGACCAACAAATAGTGGGATTGACTATCACATTATAGCACCTCCATGGCTGAAAGGACAAACATGTTTGGTGATGGACATTCAAATCCACAACCTGCAGATTGCAAGTTGAGCACCCAAACCACCAGGCCTTTGATTAGATAGCGGGCATAAATTGCATTATTACAAAAATATGCTAGTGCTACTAGCATAAGGTTAAATAATTTTGTCTGCCCCATAGATTCAGCAGAATTCTTTATTTTGATATGGTTTCACTTATATAAAATCATAATTTCATGTATTTTCTTGTCTGTCATAGTCTTATATTTAATGTAATAGTAATATCTATTTTTTAAATGTATAATTTATTAGCAATATTAATAATTGTAGCAACATAGGGAATTTGTTCAAACTAATTGGCAGCATGATGTATTTTTATAACTAAGGTTAAGGTGCCAGTAATGCCATGTGGTAAAAGTAGGAAGTAAACAATGAAACAACCTTTGAGTAGCCATTAGTTTCTTAATATTTGACTTGCACATTTTTAATGTTTGATAGATTAAACAAAACTCAAAATGTGTGGCACTTGGCTAATGTTTAAATTCTTAATGTCCCACCAAACATGCTCTACCCTTTCAGCCATGGAGGCATTATAATGGTCAATCCCACTATACATTGGTAAAAGAGTAGCCAAGAGTTGGCGGTGGATGGTGATGAATATTACATATAAAAAAGCAATTGCCAATAGATTAGTAAATTAACAAATACAAAATAGTTTCATTGGACATGCAAATAGTTAATAAGAAAAGCTTTAATCTATATATAGTTGATAAAAACACCCCATAGTTTAATATGTTCAACAGTATCTCATGGGCATTTTTGGATGTGAAAAATAAAAAATTTTACTGTATATGTAACCTTACTTGTAATGTGAATTTAAATAGTGCATCAGTCCAAATGAACATTAATACTGTAGGTAATGCTGGAAGTTATTCTTTTTGTTTTATGAATTTTATTTCTCTTGCTGCATTTTAACATGGCTTGGGTCATTTCCAATTCAGTACATCATTGATAATTATTTTCAAAAGTGATGTTAAGCTACATGTAATCTTGTAAGTTTTATTTTAACATGTAACTAGGTATTCTCATGTTTAAGCTTATTTGTCAGAATATAAAAATAAACTTGGAATGTAATATTAGTGAGACACATACACCTCATCTGTCATTATTATTTCACTATAGAAAATTGTTAAACACTGCATATCAACCTTTTTTGTCTTTTCAATTAAATAAGACCTGCTGAATTATTTGTACATTAAAGCCCTTTAAATATATGTACAAAGAGCGTAAAACATTTAAATGTGTAGTAGTCTCTTACATTGTATATAGTAGTTAGTTACATATATTACTTGAAAACCAAATTATCTAGCCTTTCTCAAAACTGGAATTACTTGATCATTTTTAAAGAAAACTGTAATCCAAGCTGGCTAGGAATGAAGCATGTGTTTTTCAAAAAGTAAAGTTCTTACATGATATAGCTAGAAGAGAACTGGTATAAAAATAATAATAGTTGAAATGAAAGTTTCACAGTTAAGGTATGAAAGGATTGAATTTTCACTAGTTGTTGTTTGAGGAAAGAAATGTTTTATAATTACTGTAATTGCAGCTACTCAAGAATTACAAGGAAGTGAAACAACAAGAGGAACAATCCCAACAGCTAGTAGATATGTTAAAAGCAGAAAATAATGAACTGAGAAATAAACTTGAACAAGAAAATAAAGATAAGTTCATGGACAGCAAAGTGAGTGCTGTGAACAATGAAAACCGTGAGTTGAAAACAAAATTTCAGGAAGACAGAAAAAAAGATAAAATTTTTGAACAAGTTTTGATTAATCTTTATAAAGAAAACATAAAGTTGAAGACAGTTTTGTTAAAAAAACGAGCTACAGATTTAAGGAAAGAAAATATTAAATTGAAAGATACACTAGTACGGGAAAGGAGTAACTTTGTAAACAACAGTAACTATGATACAAATGTAGCTAATAAAAGTTATAATGGTACTGATTTATCCTTAGCTAATATTGAACATGTCAGTGATAAAGAAAAATATGAAAGTAATGATAGCATGAAACATGTAATAGATGTTGAGGATAGATATGATTATGGCAAAATTTTGAATGAATTGGAAGAAAAAGTTGAATTCTTGAAAGAGGAAACCATGGAAATAAAATTAAAATTGGACCAACAGGTAAGTGATAAACAAGTTCTTATTAATATGGAAAAAGTTGTTGAAAACCTGAAGAGGGAAAATATAATGTTTTTGAGTGATACTCTAACAAAAGAAAAGAACGATTCTCAGGGCCATGGTTTCAGCACATTAAAACAACAGTTGCAAGCAATGATGGCTGAAAATGACCTGCTGAAATTAAAAGAAATTGAACTTGAATCCAAAAAGTCACCAGTAAAACATAGTAATGAAGAATATACAAAGCAGGAGAAACTAGTATTTGATCTACCCAAGAAATATAAAGAACTGAAAGATCAAATGATACGTATTTGGAACAAAATAAAGGTATACAAATCAGAACGATTGAATCATAAATTACTGAAACAAGACAATGAAAATACAGAATCATTTGTTGCTCTTGAAAATCCTGATAAAAATTTGTTGGTTCAGTTACTTGCAACAAAACCTGATAAGGCACAGCAATTGATAAATATGTATGATGATATGAAGAAAGGAAAAAGTGACCATTACATCAATGGTAGTGTTTCTTTTTTGGAAATTATTCCACAATATAACTGGACTGATATGTTTCAGGATATCTTGCAAGACAGCAACAAAGTGTTTTTCCATCTGGTAAAGTTAATGTTTAGTCACATTATGAATAAGAGTGCCAATCTGTTTGATGACAGTAGTAGTGAGAAAATGTTGATTAATTTTCTGAAAAACATAAACAAATTGGAAGAATTTCCTAAAATAATACAGTCAGCAGAATTTAAAAGTTATACACATCAAAACCCCAAGTTGGCCACTAAAATATCCAAGGTTTTTGGCAAAGCTTTTCACAAAATTCATGATGCATGTATTCAATTTCTGAAAGAACAAACATCAGTAGGTGAAAATCTGAAGAAATTAGTGGATAACATATTAAAAACATTTGATGTTCTGAACAGAAAATGGACACACTTGAATAAAAGGTGGGAAAAGATAAAAGAGAATATGCATGATAAAAATATAAAAAAAGTAAGAGGGAATGATGTTAAAATTGACAAGTTCCAATGCTCAAGCAGTAGCTCCACTGAAAATGTGAATATTAAAATAAAAAAAAATGAAGTGTTTGATAAAGAGGAAACATTTTTGAATTATCCATCTTCTGATTGGTTCTTTATTAGAGCCAACGAGAGGGAACAGCAGCATGTAATATACCCATCTCAGCTGTTTGATGATTGGCATGTTCGAAGAGCAAGAGGAAGGCAGCATCAGAGAAACCTTGGAATTTTTAATCAAATTGAAGAAAATTGGTTTCTGAAACGAAATAAAGGTCGACGTTCTTCAGCAACTAATTTATATCATTATCAAGTAGCTGATTCATGACCTGAATATGGAAAAACATGAGTTTAGTATAAAATCTAATGCAAAATATTTAACTAAATTTTGCTTGTCAAGATACTAAAAACAGACAATATATTTTTCAAAACAAAAACTAACTTGTATGTACTTTATTCTTGAAATGTATTGTTGATGATTATTTTACCATTATAATAAACATTGCATTGCAGGATTCAGAACAGCCATTTCTAATATTTTATGTAATCTCTTGTGGTTAATGATTTTTGGTTAACTAGATTCAGAATAGCTGTTTCCAGTATTTTGTGTAATCTGTAGTAGTGAATTATTTTTGGTTAACTAGTATTTTTATCAAATTGTTAAAAGTGGCAGTTGGAGTAGTATTTGACTGGTAGATAATAGATTTTAAGTTTGTAAACAATTCTATGCTACATACATTTCTAGGTTAATGTGAAATCCTAAAGTGATTATTTTATTGTAAATTTAGAGAAATTGAAACAAGTTTTAGCACTACATGATTTTAAAATATTATACAATTGTTTTTTTATAACAAAACTATGGTTAAATTGGCATTCTGGGTTTGTTTCTTATCTTAGAGTTAAAAAACTTACAGGTTTACATTTTTGTAGTTGTAATGCTATTTGCTAAAAAATAACATTGTTAGATACAACTTCTCATTTGGAATATTTTGTTATTGACGGGTGACTCAGGTTTTTCATTACAACATTTTAATTTAAAGTATTCAAAGAAAGAATAGTTTTTCCATTCTGACACTATGTTGTGAATCAAACATTGATACCACAACTGATGTAATACATACAGAAGTTTAATTGGAAAATTTGTACTGCAAAATATCTTAAAATTTTTCATAAAAAAATACAAAATCAAATTGATATAGTACTTTAGTGCAATATTGTAAATTTTGACTTTGGTACTTGTCATTGGATTACAAGTTACATCATTTATTTTATCAATACACGGTGCTTCATACGTTCTTCTGTTTTTTAATTCCAAGATTCACCCTTTAATTTTTTAGTGATATAAGAACCCTCTGATCTCTGCTGTCATATTCTTTCAGAATAAACAGTTCATTATGCACTTTTAACTTTGGCATTTCAAAGTAGGTATTTTTGAACTCCATGGTGGCTTGACTACCGTGTATTGCAAATATTCTGGATTTGCTTATATAAAACTGTTAAGAATGCCTTTTATTGCTGGCTTTTAGATATTTATGTGATCTAATGTTTTACTGTCAGTAACTTAGTTTCATGTTGTAAACAGTTTTCTATTATGTATTACTGATAAAATATTACTTTGTTATTAAGGATATCTATACATTTAGTGAAAAAACCAGCTTTACTTAATATGTATATTGTTAATGTACATTATTGTTGTAAGATTTATTTTAATAGCCAATTTTATTTTATTTATCTTTTAATATTAACCCAGTGACCCATGATTGCAGTATACTTAATGTAAGTAAATTTTTGTTACTTTTATCCTAAATACAAATATCCATTAATAAGATGGTGAATGAACTGATAGTCATTGTCAATAAATATTTTGAACTTTGAAAATGTGGAATTAATCAATTTGATACTTGAATAAGATGCAGATATACACAAATTTATTCAGAAAGTGCAAGGGACTTGAACTTCACTTGTCATATCCCAAGAATGTTTGTAATGTTTCACATACAGACACTTATTTTAAAAGTGAATTGGAGAAGCTGTACATCTTTCCCATGTTTGCAAAACAAAAATCGATTTTTGGGTCATTATTTATGCAGCTTGAGCATTAGGTGTCAAAAGACTTGGAATCCTTTTCAATCTTGATACTCATAGTACTCTCTAAAATATATTTTACTAAATCATGGTCAGCCCTTCCTGATGTAAATAGTAGTAGCTTTTCTTTCTTTGTGGTCAGTTTTCAATGCACTTTAAACTGTGTAAAAATTGTGATAAAATTTGTTTATTCAAAAGAACAATTCTTGGATTTCTTGCGTATAGAATGTTTAATAGCTTTATTCTTTTGAGCTGTGGGGGCCATAAAATAATTTGTATCATGTGAAAATGAGTACTTCTATACAGACACTATTTATCAATATAAGGTATTGATTTAAAAATCAGTATAAATAAATTCAATTAATTAGTTCTACACTAGATAAAATGTGTATTTTCTGTTGCTGTTCTCAGAGTAAAAGTTAGATACTTTATAACAAAATACAGCTTTGTAATGTAAAACAAAAACTAACATTACCAAGTACAAATATATACTTAATCAAACTAAAACCATATACAAAACTAGTTTTATTTGAAATTTATTTATTTGTGCTTAGTAATGTATTTTATTTATTGAAATGCATAAAGCTAGTCCTTATAATTGATTGATTGTTCTAGTAACTAAATCCATATTATTGGGCAGTTTTGCCAAAACCATCTAATCATAGGAATAACATTTTCTCTTCTAAAACAGAGGTTTAATCTTATGAAGTGCAAATTTTGGTTACTTCCAGTCTGATCAGATACCAAACATTAAGAAATTCAACAAGTAAAACACTTTATGCTTCTGATAGACATGAAGAACAGCAGAAACTACATATGTTTCAATATGATACAATATATTTAATATTTTATGAAATAAATTTTAAGTCGAGCATTCATATCTTCTATTGAACATTTTCTTAGGTACACTACTAATTCATTTAATCATGCATTTGTTACAGTTATTAAAAATTTAAATACCCAACTGTTATTGTAAAGTAGTTCCTATTGCATTGTTACCAAAGGTATGCAACCTTAGCTAATTTTTTAATGTCTATTGACAGTCATAAACAAAATACTTGTATAAGATTCTTTTTTTTTAAGAAGCACTAGAAGGTGTTTCTTTAGGGAAAAAGTTTTGTTGTAAGAAAAAAAAAGATTAAATTTCAAAACAAAAGTATTTATTGTACATATTTTAACAGAATCTTGGTCTGTCTTTGTCAGTTACAACTAAAAAAGTGCAGATTCCATAGATTTTAGTTGTAGCTGATAAAGAAAAAGCAAGGTATTATTGAAACATGTAGATGTAGTATAAAAAATATATACAATGAAAAATGAACATCTTTATTCAGGAATATTTGTCAGTTTTTCATGTAGTTGTTGTACTTGATTAACACTCTTGCTATTAGGATGCAAGTAGGTCTGAACTTGCTTCAGTCATCATTTAAGGTTAAGGTGATGTACCACTGTGGTCATTAAAGAGAAATTGTGCTTGCTTCACCAAGATTTTCCCTTGGAATGTTCATTATCAAATTGAGAGGGGTAGTGCAGAGTTTGTATGAGAATGATCACTGTTGTGGGTAATCCGGAAGTGTAAGATACTATGCTAGGACTGACTGGTATGACTTGAAGTTGTGGTGTAGACACAATCCATTTTAGATTTTAGAAATGTGGCAGCAACAAAGGGATAAGAAGTGATGTTTCAAATGTTTATTGGCATTTCATTTGTCCTCATCAAGTCTTTTTATCTATGGTTGAATTCATCAGTAATTGCTTAGGAAATTAGTTCATTTTGGGAAGATATAGTTAAATTGAGATAAAAATACAGCTATGTTGGTATCATTCAACATGATCTCTCCAATTCAATTGGATTAGTCAATGAATGTGATGATTCACATCATGAGAGTTTGTTTTTACTCCTAATAGTCAATACTTATTTTGGCTATTATTGTGATGTAAAAAAACAAAAAAAAGAGAAATGTATCTAGTAATCAAATGTATTTAGTGCTGACAAAACCCTACTAGTGTTTGATAGAGCCCTAGCAAAATATCTGAAGTTAATACATTTTTTTTACTTGTAACTACTAAGGATACCATTCACCAACAGGCTAACTCTGTGAATCATCAGCTTGTTAATATAAAGACTGTCAGTGACACTAGTTGGTATGAACCATTGACCCATAACTAACTTTCCCTACCAGTCATTCTAATCTTTACTTGACTTTTTTTGAGCTACACTAAAACTACAATTATTTATTTTGATCAAAAATTACATATCCAAAACATACCTCCTTTTACACTTACAGCTATTACCCGAGTACCAGGATTTTTTCCTTTACCCATCAAAGCATTGGTCTTATTTTTTCTTGCTTGTTCCAGTCTTTTATACCCCACTTAATATGTTATAATATCTCATAACACTCTCCATCTACCTTAATGTGCCATCTATCCTATTACTGTATATAAGCACCCCTTTCAAATAAATGTTATTGCTTTTTCTTTAACAAAGCATCACTAATGGGTTTCCAAGGGCTACGATTAAATCCGAGATACTTTGAGCATTCTCTAGGTTACCTAG